AGGAGAAGAAGAAGGAGAAGAAGAAGGAGAAGAAGAAGGAGAAGAAGAAGGAGAAGAAGAAGAAGAAAAGATGAAGGTCACCCAGAAATCATCCGGGCCCAAAAGCAGTGACCACAATTCTGCTCTGGACCATGGAAAACGGAGAGGCCAGAAATGGGTGGAGAAATAGCGCCCTCTGCTGGTTGCTATTGTGCAGGCAGGCCCTGCAGACTGGACTGGCTCAAAGGGGATCAGATAGGGACAGTAGGGTGAGGAGAAATGTAGGGCACATTGCTGAGGGTGTGGTCCCTGAAAACCACCGCACTTACCTGAGCAGCAAAGAGCTTAGCACCAAAGAAAGGCCATTTCCGGGCCACCGTCAGGTAGATGCGAATGCACTCAGGAGGGGAGCAGCCCTGCAGGGCTGCCCACTTTGTGGTCAGCAGATCTGCCAGGTGCCTGGTTTGGATGGATGGAGAGAAATGGGCCAGTGAAGGGCCAACAGGTTTCCACTGCAGCTCTGAGGCCTTCCCCCACCCTACAGCCCCTGCCTCCCCACAGCAACTGCCTCCCCACAGCAACTCCCTCCAAGATCTGGCCAGCCTACCTCAGCTGTTCAGGGGGTGCCCCGTGTCTGTAGCGCCTCGGGTAGAACCTGTCTAGGACCTGCTGGAGATGATGCTGAACCTTGGCAGGGGGAGGGCTCCCAGGGCCTGGTGGGCTGGGCCTCTCTAAGTCCCCATATTCTACCTGTGTTGGAAGCACACGGAGGGAGCAGTCAAGAATCTGGAAGTGGATGGGGTGGGGCCGGGGCTGCTGGGGAGGTGAAATCAACCATCACTTCATTACTTCATTGATAGGGTGTGGATGGATGCGAAAACACTTCTCATGAACAGACCCTTCATCTCACGGTTCACGGACCCTAGAGAAACCACCTTATGGCCCTCGATGATTATTTATATTCACTTTCCTTCTGCAATGGAGGTTAAGTGCCTTATCCAAAGACTCAGTTAATTAGTGGCAGACAAGGGAGAACTACGGATCTTCTGGCTTCTAATCCAAACATCTGAGATCCAGGACTGAAGATGCTACAGATCCTAGCGTACTGCAGTGTTCCAAACGTGGCCTTCGGAATCACAGACCTGGCTCAGGTTCCTGTTCTGCCATCTGCTGGCCTTGTAAACCTGAGCAAGTACTTAAATTTCCTCATCTGTTACATGGGGATAAGAACTGAGATAATACACATGACATACTCAACAGTGGACCCTCTACAGAGCATTCAGTAAATGTTTATTATTTCCCTTTCCTCTCCAGCATGCAGAGTCAGACCCTTTCTCATAAGAACCATGAGGGCATCCCAGATACCTTTGGCAAGACAGCCTCTTAAAGGTAACAGGGAAAAGAGTCGAAGTCTGAATGCACCTTCCCCTTCCTGATTCTATTTACAACGTTTTACAGTTATAAGTACAAATCTCAGCACATCCATTATGTGACATACATCATTTCAGTAGCACACTTAGTACAACCCTGTGGGGGGCAGGCAGGGAGGCATTTTTGTTTCCACTATACAGAGAAGGAAACGAAAGCATAGACCACTGCAGTGACTTGGCCAAGATCTCATGGCGGGAAGGTGGCCAGCTCTCAAAGGCAGGGCTCTGCTCTGGGTTCCACGTCCAGAATTCTGCATGTCATGTGTATTTGCAGTAAAGGGCTCTGACGGTAAGGAGTCAGCTTCCCTCCATTGCCAGAGACAGCAGGGTCCGCAGTCTCCGGTTTCTGGCTGCGTGCTATGGGCCCCCTGTGAGTCCAAAGATGGTTCCCTGATCCTCCCAATTCCTGCACAGAACCTTACCTGGGCCATTAGGGCAGCCATCTCAAGCGCCAGCTCCTTGTTGACAGGAAACCTCCCTGCCACGATCTCCCCACTGGTCTGGGAGGCGAGCAGCAGCCGCTCCCGCTCTGTCTCCCCTTTGACTTGACTCCGAAAGTACAGCCTACAGGGAAGACAGTGAGAAGCAGCCAGGACTCAGCTGGGATCCCGAATGGATGAGGTCATCTTGGCATCTGTTTACTTGATTTCCAAAGAAAGAAATGACTTTTTTTACACCATCTGTGAGACTCTTTTTCTACTGCCTCCAGAAAAATTTAAGCACAACACAGGGCAGATAACGGGGCCATGAGGTCTCATGCCAACAGTGGCCCGGGCCATACCTAACTACACCCCTCCCCTACTGGATTTGCTCAGCGGAATCTGCTCCCCAGAATCACAGCTTCTCGGGGGAACTGGAGGAGTTGAAGATTCCAAGAGAATAATGGAAATCATGTGCCAGCAGACAGATCTGGGATGGGATTTTCTTATCCAAATGGACACAAAATCATGGTATCTACTTCTATATTTGCTGGAATTGTTACAGGAGCTATTTATTCTTGAGCCTTAAATATCTAGTGCTCATGAGAAATTTCACTCTTCTAATGGAACCCTTGCAGCCATCCCACAAGGTTGGTCTATTTTCTTGCCAGGGGTGGGAGGGGGGAGGTGTGGTGTAGTGTGGGTGTGTGTGTGCACACGTGTGCGCAAATACATGCAGGACAGGGACCGAGAGCCTGAACTGCCCAGGGTCTCACCGAGGATCACCAGAGCCAGCCTGGGCCACCAACTAGTGTCCACAACACAGTGCTGTCTGTGGGCATGCTGTCTGTCCAGCACAGGCCAGCCGGTGGCCGTGATGAGTGCCCTCCTCCCCCACCCCCAGGCAACACTCGAGACCTGTTCTTGTACATCAGCTTCACGACACGTGTGCCACCCTCAGCCTTGCCAGAGTGCAACTCCTTCACGGCTTGCTCCCACTTGGAGATGGCATCACAGATCTAAAACAGGCGGGAAAGGACAGTCAGAAGAGGCCCTGACGGGAGCAGGTCCCATTGGGTACAGGCTTCAGGCACCTGGGACTAGAGGTGTCTTACAACCTCCCCCCAGACAGAGCGGTAGAGCCCGGGGCGTGGCGTGAGCAGCAGAGTGTGGGATGCTGCCCCCCACTGGCCTTGACACCTAAGGGGGCCTCCCCAGAGGCCAGGCAGCCCTCTGTCAAAAACCGTGGCCTCCTATTACCAGCTCCATTTCCCTTCCCCCAACCACTGTTGTTTTCAACAAGTACCCTCAGAGGCCTACTGTGTAACCGAGCCTTACAGACACCCAGACATTTACAAAGGGGACATGTGCGCAGGATTTCCAGGCAACAGGAAAGGATTATAAGAGCCTTTGTCCTGTCGCCTTAAAAAAAGCGGACTTGGAACCAAAACCCTCAAACTCATCAATGCTACAGCACATTCCCACAAACACTTAACATCCCCCATGGCGCTACTCCCAGACCACAAGACAAGATAGGTGGAAATCCCATTCAAGGGCCTTTTACTTGTAGACGTGCCACATAGATCTACCTGCTTCAAATGTGGTCGAGCCTGTAAGTGTAGCAGAGGCCCTGACAGGGCAAGAATGAGCTGCACTGCGCAACACACAGCTGGGGACCCAGGGGGATGATCATCTACCTCTGCGTGTGCACAGGGACAAGTGCCTCCCTGTTCTTCCTATACCAAGCCAAGAAGCACCTTTTCCCCAGGATACAGCACAGCCCCTCAAGGGCGGGGGGAGAGAACATATGGAGATGTTCTCTCCAGGGACAAGGGCAAAAACAACTTTTCTCTGCCTGTAAAGGTAGGTTTTAGCATGCCACAGAATGCTGGCCAGAGGGAGCACCTTGGGCTCCCAACCTAACAGACTGTGCAGCAGGAAGGCACCCGCCAGAGGGGCTCTTTCCCCACCGTCCAAACCCCAAGGCCCAGAGGGATCCCAGGAGGGGCTCAGCTGGCTCAGTGGGGAGCCTATCACCTTGATGCTCCCATGCAGGCAGTGTTCCAGGTCCCTGCCTGAAGGATCGTCTGTGAAGAGGGCAAAGCCAGAGTGGGAGGACTTCCTCATGCCCGTCTCTTGGTTCAGACGCTGGAGGAACTCATCAACCGTGGAGGAGCCGTCAAAACCGACCACCTGCGTGGGAGAGGGGTCAGTCCCAGTGGAAACTTCCCGAGGAGCTCGTGAGGGCTAGTGGAGGGCTATGAGTCTGGAAGGTGGAAAGTCTTGGCTGCAAGGAGCAAGGGAAAATGCAAAAGCCGAAGGAAGCTGGTTTCCGTGGTCCCATGCAGAGGGGCATGTGCTTTGGGGACAAGCCCGCCCGCAGTAAGCTGGAGTCAGCGGCTCTGCTGGCCCTCTGCCACCACACTTTCGGAGGTGTTTTATCATGCCACCCTCTCGGTCAGCGTCTCAGCTTCCTGTCCTTGCAGGGGCTTCAAAAGATCGACTTCCAAGGGCCAAACAGTGAGGTAGTTTCGCAATGCAAGCTCCTCTCTCCCTGCACTCTGGCGCTCACGGTCCCACCCACCTCCAAATCCCAAGGCCACCCTCTGCTGGTCTGCCTGCTCAGAATCGGCCAAGGGCGCCTGGGTGGCTCAGTGGTCATGATCCTGGGGTCCTGGGATAGAGTCCCACAGTGGGCTCCCTGCTTCTCCCTCTCACTCTCCTTCTGTGCTCCCCCAAAATAAATAAATAAAATCTTAAAAAAAAAAAATCGCCAAGTCTAAGGAGCTTTAGCAGCCCCCTGGCCTGAGGGTGTTCGTGGGCGAGGGATAGGAGAGGACGGAAGAGAGGGAGCCCGCGTAGCCTCCTCACCTGGTAAGTCCCATTGGTGAAATGCACGGGGATGCTGAAGGGTGAGGAGTGGTGGAAGGGGTTGCGTAGCAGGATGGACACGACTTCCATGCGGGACGGCCGGGCCTCCCGCTCTCCAGTCTGAAGCGTCCGCTCCACGGCCCGCTGGCAGTAGGTGGCATACTGGCCAGTTTCATTTCTAAAGAGACGGGAAGAAAGCAATCCCAGGGAATCCACTCATCCCTGCTAACTTGATTCCCTGGCTGCCGACTATGACCAGGCCAAGACCCCATCTGCAGCGGGACTGGCGGTGAGAAAAGCCCAGAACGCTCTGGTCTGTGGTGTTCATCCATCATTCAGGGTCTATCTGCTACAGGTGGCTCGCACAGATACTGTCTCCAGAAGCCAGAAGAACGGGGACACAGACCATGAAAATGTGGGGATGATCTGGGGACACCCAAAAAGTATGCACACATACAGAGACTGGGATGTAGAGCAGCCCAGGCTTGCACAGACCTCCGTGTGCCCACTCGTGTACACAGTGCCAAGTGAAGTCTCCGTGATCACCATGCAAACCTCAGGGGCAGAGTGGTCTGGTTCCCCCCAGTCCCCCACAGCCTGCCCGCTTCCCCAGGATCCCCACACGTGGTCGGCGGGGCTGGAGCTGTGCGGGAAACGACGCTCACTCACCGGGGGTCCGCGTGGCGCTGGAGCTGCTGTTTGACGTACCAGAGGAAGTGGTGCTGAGGCAGGAAGAGTGGGGCGCACAGAGCCAGGAGCTGCCAGCACTGCAGGGCACAGGCAGCATGGGACGGGGCCCACGCGGCTCTGAGCTACTGAGCCCTCAGCACTCTCCAAACCAGGGCTCCCCCAACCCGGTGTGGCCACCAGCATGGCCAACCTGGTCAGGCCCCGTCCAGAGCAGCCATCACAAGATCTGACCAGCCCAGCCATACGGAGGCAGCCCACAGGCTTCCACCCCCTCCTCCCACCCCCCAAGGGTTCCGGGCCCGGCCCCGCTCACCTGAATGAGGGAGCACTTCTGAGGCGGGCGGCCACTGGTCTGCTTCATGAGCTGGCAGTAGATCTCGCTCTGCAGCTCGGGGTGAGCCAGGCAGACCTGCAGGGCTGTCTGCGCCAGCGACACGTGGTAGTCCACCGAGGCTGCCTCCACGGGCACGTTGATGAAGAGCTGGCAGGACTGGCGGGAAGATGACGGTGGGCACGGGCAGCCCCACAACCCCTGGGTTAGTATCCTTGGTGACAGTGGGCACACAGGGCCATCCCCACAACGGGCAGCCCTTCTGAAGAGGGAGCACTGCCCCTGCCTGAGGGCGGCTCTGCGTGCTTCTTGGTTACTCTGGGATGGCAGCATTCCTTCTTTAAATGTGTCCATTACATAAGCAAGACATCCATTTTTTTAAGAGAATATTCAGACAGACACAAAGAACATTCTAAAATGGGTCAGGATCTCTCAGGTTTGGAAGCAACCTAAACCTGGCCTTTCCTGCCCTTTATTCCAGGAGGAGGAGAGTTCCTGAACAGGGAGTCTCACTGGCTGGTCCCCAGAAAGCTGTGAATGCTTCCGCGCCCTAAGCCTGTGGTGACGACCCTTCCGCGAGGGCCCTTCCGCTCAGAGCCCTCTGTGAGCTCCCCCTAACTCCACAGTTTCCACCCCAGGATCCCGTGGTGGGCAAACTGCTCCGGGGAGAGCCTAGGCCCGCGGCGAGGGCGCCGCCTGCTGGTGGGCCTGCGCTCCGTTCCCAGGTTACCTTGAAGAGCTTGAGCGCCTCCGTCTGTAGGGCCTCGGAGGGCAGGGTGGTGAGGGAGGTGTACAGCCCGTCCTTGCTGTAACACAGCATGGGGTGCCTCCAGAGAGGGGAGTCTGCCCAAAGCACAGCACCAAGAGGAGCAGCAGTTACAGTTGGGGCGGGAACTGGACCCGCACCCCCACCCCCAGCCCCCGGATCTTCGAGGAAGACCAGGACAGACTGTCCGGATGCACGTGTTGTGCTGGGGTCAGAGCCCCAGGGTGTGGGCCACACAGCTGGGCACTGTGTCCAGCATGAGCACAGCTCCCAGAAAGGTGGCTACTGCTTCACTCCCAGGGCAGCGACAGGCCTGGGTACAGGAATGCAAGCATGTGTGTGCAGGGGAGGCCCCTCCCTGCAGGGCCGGGTCAGGATGGAGAGCACACCTCAGCCTGAAGGCAACAGGCCTCGGAGGAGCAGGGAAGGGGTGTGTGGTGGGTGCCGTTAATTCCTCAGGGTCCTGAGAACCAGGAGTGAAACAAAGACCTCGGAACACCCAGGCTTGGGTTCGTCTAATCCCAGTGCAGGCTTCATTCATAGATTAACAAACTGTAACGATTCACCAGCTACCTTCTTTCCTCGACCCTCAGCTCAGCCGGCAAAGCCACGGTGAGGAAAGTAAAACACTGACCCGGGTCACTGGGAAGTCTGCCCCCAAATCAACTCCCCTGGACACAGTGGGGTAACCCCAGTATCTTCACCAGAAACAGGGGCTCTGGAGCTTGGATGGGAATGTCCTTCTGTGGCTTAGATGGTTTTAAAACAGCTTCGGGGTACAGAAATGCTTTCTGTGTGTTTCTGACCAACCACTACCCAGCCACCACCCTCCAGCCCACGCAGGATGGCCACCCTGCCTTACCTGGGTCTCCCTCCTCGTCCATCAGTTTTCCAATGAGTTGCTCATAGGCAGTGCCAACTGTGGCACTGCTGCCCCCTGCAGCCACTGTGAGGTGGTACAGCCACGTGTCCTAGAAAGGGAGTGGAAGAATGGAGGCAAGGGTCCACAGTTCTCTTGAAGGGGCCAACCCCAGGGTGAGGTTGGGCTAGTCTGGCTGGCACAAGTCAAGGCCACCAGTCTCTGAAAGACTTGGGATCAGGTGAACATGAACCCAAGTTTCTAAGCTTAAGGTGCTATCTCATGGTCCCAGTGGAGAGATGGTGGTCACTGGGAGGGAATTCGCTATAAGGAAGGATCCCAATCAGGGAATGCTAGTTGCCAAAATGTCCAGGAAGGAAAGAAACTTGAATCTGAGGAGGCTGGGAAAGAAAGAAGGGAAGATGAGAATCACAGGCCGGAGCTTGGCGGCAGAGGCTCAACCCCCTCCCTTACCTTTTCATGCTTGGTGCCAATGAGGAGGTAGGTGGGGCTGTGCTCTGGGGGATGGATCACCAGGGTGCAGTGGGAGGAGAGCAACCGCCTGCTTCCTCCAGCCTCATAGTCCTCATCGGAGTCACAGGATCGATCAACTTCCTCGATGCGCGCGTCCCGCACAGGCAAATGGCCCAGGGGTCGCTGTGGACAGGAGCCTTCCATGAATGGGAGAGCCAGCAGGGAGCCGGGCAGTCTCCTCTCTCTGAACCCTCAGGCTCTGCTGGGCTGGGAGTCATGGATGTGGCTGGGTCCCAGAATGAGGGGGGTTAACTACAGTTCCCTGGCTGAGGCTTGCCAGGAAAAGCACAGACAGACCCCATGGGTAGAATCTGTGGGCCGTACACACTGGCCACAGGTGAGAGGGATCCAGCCAGCTTTGTACTTATGTGGTGTGACAGAAAAGCTGGGGCCTTTCCATCAGGACACGGAGCCACAGGAATGTGGTCTGGGGAAAGCAGAGAGTGGGTGCTGTCAGGAAGCCAGGAAGTACCTTGTCCTCATGACTTCGATAGTAGTAGAAGGTTCTTCCAACAAGAGCACACCAGACCAGCTTGGAATGGCCATGTTTTACCTATAAGAAGAAATTAAGACTGTGTGATTAGAACCAGGTAAACCCAGAAGTAAATCCAGGTCTGCCAAAGAGAAGCCAGAGGAAGGAAGATCTCAAAATCTCTGGTCTAACTCTGGTCCTTAGTGGAGATGCCACCCAGACTCCCTACTAACAGGACTGGCCTTTTCACATGGAGAGGGCCATGGTGTGTACCCTGTGACATCCATCCATCCATCCTGGCACCACACGCCATTAAAAGACTAACCAGGCCAATCCAATGTCCTGTCCCAGGAATACGGACACAGCCGTAAGAATGCTGAGAGGGAAGGCAGGGCCATGGCTGGCAGGTAAAGCCCCCGGCAAACGTAAATCACGAGGGCACAGCAGGAGTACGGCAGGCGGAGGAGACTGACCCGAGCACAGATGGAATGCCAAGGCAGAAAGCGAGCCAAGAGCACCGAGCTCACTCACACGTGGCTTTGCCTTCTCGTGGCGTTCTGGCCTAGTTCATGTTCTTCCTCGTTAACTTCCATTTTCTGAGGTTAACAAGTACTTTTCTGCTCCTTCTAGCCAGAAGAGTCCTAACTCAAACACCTCTAGGGCAGGCCTGGGATCGGACCTCGATGGGTGTGCACACCTACCTCACCTGCCTCACAGCTTCCACTATTCATACTGAGGCATGGCGGGCGCAGGTGGGGGTGGGCAGCAACCCCTAATGACCTCAAACTAGGTCCTCCTATCTTGACAACAGCTGTGGTGCTCACAGCCCTGATCTCAGTGTTCACTCACAGACACTGAGCAGTCAGACCGTGTCTGGGGCCCACCCGCTAATCCCAGTGAGCCAAGTCCTGCAGAGGGGCGGCAAGGAGGGCTGTGCTCGGGCGCCTGGCCCCCCTGCCTCTCCGCCCCACCAACTCCGCCCCTACCTTGGTCAGCCAGCCCTTCACAGTGGGCTTGGAGCCACCCCGAGGCAAGGCTGGAGGCCCCACGGCCTGCACCTTCAGCAGGCTCTGCAGCGCGCGGATCCATTCCTCCAGCAGAGCTGGTGAGTCCGCCGTCAGGTAATAGGTCTTCTTCTCAGAGATAAGCTGGGGAGAAAGGGTTGGGGACAGGGGTGGGGAGATGGCGGGATGGCATGCCAGGGAGGTGGCACAGATCCCTGAACCCACTGGGCCTTCCTTCTTCCCACTCTGGACCCCCTCCCTTCTTTCCCTTGTTCTCTTCGCCTCGTCTCTGCTACCTTAACTCTGTCTCGCACATTTGGTCTCCTCTTCTCTCCCAGTACTCACAAACGAGGGTCACATCCAAATGTGGATGTGATGTCTCTCACACATGTTCATTTTGCCCCAGCTTTGTTTCCACCCTAGTCCTATCTGAACCCACACCCCTTCGTCTAAGCCGCCTGCCCACCTGGAATGTCTGTGCACCCTCCCCTCGAACAATCTGGCAACGGGAATTCAGTTCCACTTGACCCTGTGGTTTTCGGATGACATCGCTCTGTAAAGACAGGAATGGGGAGGAACACAGTTAGGAGCCTTCCCAGAGCACATCCTTCTCCCTTAGGTCTTACTCCAGGTCAAAGTCAACGAAGAAAGTGATTCCCAAGCCTTCCTGGGCTATGGTAGGATGGTAACTTGTTCTGCATCCCGGTTCTAGCTAAGTGGAACAATGATTAAAGACACAGGGGCCCATCTGACCCAGACCTCAAAAAGGATAGATTGAGCCTTTAAAATTGGGTCAGAAGCCACCATGTTATTACTGAGCTTTAAAGCCTTTAAATTCTTTCTACTACATTCTCTATACCAAGTGTGGCAAATAAGTGGCAGACACATCACCACTCCCCTTCCCTGTGTGCCCGCACACCTCACTGTTCAGAGCGTGCCCGCTCACTGAGGGACACGGGCCCAGGATCCTCAACAACCACGGGCATTGGCTGGAGTTGCACAAGAGATGTGGCCTTTTTGCTTTCTGTAAAACATTCATGTTGGTTCCCCAAAGAGATCCTGTCAAACTAGATCTCAACATCGAAGGCTCCCTCGTTCCAAACTGTACAGGAAGGAGGTGGAGGAGGTGATGGGGCTGTTAGAACAACCCAGATGACGTGAGGGCAGCTTGGGAACAATTCTCTTACGGGACCAGGCATTAAAAGAAATCAGCTTCTGAAGTAAGGAGTCACCGAGCCAGGTCATCTAGAACTGCCTTGACTGCTCTGTGCCTGACTTCATTCCAAGAACCAGGGACCAGCCTCACTGTCCCATGTGAGGTTCAAAGTCCCAGGTACGCAGGTACCCACCTGCCAGACCTCTGGCCTCTGGCCGTGGGCCCCACCAACCCTTCGTCTAGCCCCCACCTCACAGCCCCGAGTTTGGCCCAGGCTCCTTCTGACCACTGTCCTGGGGGAGGAGGGTCTCACCGGGGACTTGTAGTACATAATCTGTCCCTGTCTCAGGACAAACCAGCGCCTCTTCCATGTCTTCACTCGGCTCCCCATCTTCAGCAGGTAACCCGACTTCTCCAGGGACTCCTGCAGGGGTGAGAGGGCACGGGGGTGGGGGAGTGGACAGAAAGGGGGAATTAGTTGGGGTTTGTAGATGTCCCACAAACCAGAATAGCCCAGTTGAGTTGTCAATGAAAGACAACTCCTTGAATACATACTAGATGTATTTTCAGGGCACCGTACCCTGCTAAGGGTTCAGAGAGAACTAGAATAAAGCCAGGTGGCCCCCTCAGGGACTGTATGAGGGAGAGGCTGGCCAGGGAGGGCTTCCCGAAGAGCCAGATCCAAACTGGCCTCGAAAGGAAAAGTCAGCTTCCCTTCAAAGCCATGACAAGGCCATTGTAGGCAGCAGGAAGGGAGGGTGAAGTCTGGGGAACAAGGGGCACATCAGCCAGGCCGGGGCGGAGGGCTGGGGAATGAGGGATGTGGGTCTGCAGCATGGCTCTGAGCCTCAGGCTTCTTATCTGGAAAATGGGGTCCTCGTCCTGAGAGGACGGTGAGGACACGTGAGACAAGGCACAAAGAGCACTGAGCACGGTGCATGGCGCTCAATTAAAAACTCCTACATGTCCTCTTTTGGCATTCCAGGGTTGGAACACACGGAAATGCCTGGGGCCTGGTGGGCCGCTGTGGGAAAGCCCGCTGGCTGCCCCTGGTTCGACGAGAAGCTCGCTGGGTGCCCTCTCCTTTCTCACAGGGTCTATGACGCCAAGCCTACAGCCCCAGCGCCTCACCCTTGTTGCAACCCCCTGCCCCTGCCTTTTCCCTTCCCCAGGACCCCTCGTCTTGGGCTGAGAGCTCCAGGTAGGCAGCCTCTGCTGGAGGCCTGCTTCCCCCCATGCCCTGCGTCAGCCCAGGGAGACCCGTGCCCCCTGCGCACCCCGGCCAGGCCCGGCCCCTCGGCAGAATAGGAGGAGGTCCGCTGCAGTTTGTGTTCTGGCTCGGAGTAGTCGCTGTCTAGTGAGTAGGCATCTGGGGGGATGGCGTAGTCCCCCTCGGAGCTCAGCGAGGACATGGAGACACCTACCAAGGAAGGACAAGTTAAGGTCTGGGCCCCAGATCTCCCCAGCTCACGCAGTCCGAGAGCTGCAGGAGCCTTCTTCCTCCCTGACCCAGGTTCTCTGTGTCTGCAGCAGAGGCTCATGGGTGGGGATCGAGCAGGGGGCCCCGGATGAGCCCGTCCATGGAAGGAGGTGAGGGGCTGCTTGCTGCCCACACCCTCCTGCTCCCTCCTCTGTACCTCTCTTGATGGCCCGGGGGCTGCCCAGTCCGCTGGTTTTCCTGGACTCAGAGCAGGGGACCGAAGTTCGGAAACTGGCCTGAGAGCAGCAGTCATCATCGGACCCAGAGGATTCATCCACAAAAGGCATGGTGCTGATCTGCGTGGCTCTCTGCAAGACAGGCGCCCTCCCCCGCTGCAGCTCACTTTGCAAGATGCAGCCCTTACCGTCAGCGCCGGTAGCCCCAGCCCCAGCACCCAGAGTGTGGCCAACACGGCCAGTCTGGGGCACATGGGTACCCTCACCTGGCTGGGGCACTCGACAGACAACTGTCCCATCTCTACCTTACTCTCACGTCCTCACCTCCATGCTTCTCCTTAGGCCTCCTGCTCCCACACACTGTCATCCTCTGTGGTCCCCAAAGGACCTGCCCCATCTAGGTTGAGCACCGGCAGCTGTAACCCTTCCTCCTGCCACTAGGAGGCCAGAATGCCCCACGGGCCAGGCACGCGATAGGAGCTTTAAACGCGTGTGCGGATAAGGAAACAAGAAGCCACTGACTATCTCCACGTTGTTGAAAGTATGGGGAAAAGATACTCTGTAGCGTGATAAAGGCTTTGAAAAGGTAATTTGGTGCTACCTGCCACAATTTAAAATATGCCTATCATTCGCCCATAAATTTCCCCTCCGGAACTCTGTCCTCTGGAAATACATATGCCTAATACTTAAGTGCACAGAGATGTGTCTGCACAATGACGTTCATCACTATACTGACTGCAGAGAAGCAGAGATGTGACCGAAACTGTCCATCAGCGGAGGGCAGGTTAAGGTAGTCATGGGGCATCCACACCGAGGGGCCCTGAAAGACGAAGCGGAGCTGTGCATGGAGGTGCACCCGCGAGATCTGACTCATGCTCGTCTAACAAGCAAGGGGCGGAAGGGCAAGTATGATATGATTCCCGCCGTGTGCACACGCATGGGTGTGTGCGTGCACGCATGTGTGTGTGCGTGCGCAAGAGAGAGATAGGGACACAGACAGTATCTGTCAGTGCACTGGTAAATGCAACAGAGAGCCTCACAGCATAAACACAAACCGTGAATGACAGTTGCCCCCGGGGTTAGAAATTAGGGAAAAGCAATGTGAAAGAAAATGGGACTTTTGGCTTTTCGATTATTCTAAAAAACTTTTTACAAAGTTAACTGTTTTGACCTCAAAAACCAATAACAAAAGGAAACAAAAATATGTGTGAAAACATTATGTTGCAGTTATATCTAAAAAATATAGATACGAAACTAACGTAATATTGTGTACCAACTACATTCAAACAAAAATACGCAGAAATATTATGAGAGTATACGTGGGATTATGTTTGAACATGTATGAAATATTCTGGACAGCGTCCTTCTGGGACAGACATGGGAAAAGATGGGGAGGACAGGTGAAGCAGGGGTAGGTCTAACATTTAACTTTTCACTTTGCCCATGATCGTATGGATTCAAATTTTTCAATTTGAAAATTCAAATTTATACTTTTTATAATAAAAGCCTAATAAATACTAAAAATAAAATGACATTATATGGTAGCTGAGCTCCCTGCCCGGAGTCCTGTGTGTGCAGAAGCCTGACCCTAGAGCCCCACTCGAGCCACTACGTGGACAAGGGGCCTCCTGGAGGGAACACCCCAACCTCGGACAGCAACTTCTTACCCCCTTCAGGGCAGTGTAGACAGGCACGGTAACATTCTTGTAGACAAGGCCAGAGAAAGGCCCAGGGAACGCAAGGGCAGGAGGGCTTGAAGCTGGAGGGGGTGGGGAAGAGGGAGAAGATTAACTCAGGTGCCATAACAGACAGAGACCTGGGCAGATCCACGCAGAGTTCCTTGAAAGAGCACCCCAGGAAACAGGTGGGCTAGCTATCCTGAGGATGGGGCCAGGATTCCTTCAGTCCTACTCTTGCGAAGGTGCATTACCAACTGTGAGACCATGGAGCTCACGCCGCGGGGGAATTCAGTAGCTGGCCGGCTGACTCAGGAGCCAGAGGGTAGGGATGCGGTTCCTTCACGAGGTTCATCTAAATCAAGGCACTAGGGAGCTCTCCCACCCCCAGTACCGGCCACTCACTACAGAAGGGAAGCCCGTGCAGGTGGGAGGCTGAGCTGGAGGACCCCGCCTCCGAGGTCCCTTCCAGCTCTGTAATTGGCTACAGTCCTGTTCAAGGCCATGCCCACCCCGCAAGCCCATGCCCACCCCGCAAGCCCAGAGCTAAACCTGTACAGCTTCCTTTTGCCTCAGAGGTAGTCGGGCTGTGATTTCACTGAACCTCACCTGTTGGGGGAGGGGTGGGGGTGCTGGGAGACCCTGGCCCTGGGTGTTGCTGAGAGTCTCCCCCCTGCATGCCCACCCTGCCCAGCATGTGCGGTGCACTTGGGACTCACCGCAGCAGGTGGCATTCATTCTGGGAGATGCATCCGAGAGCCGCATGCCAGCCATGGCCACCGCGTAGATTCGGCTCTCCTGGAATGGAAGGGCCCAGAGGGTCAGGGCCCAGCACGGAGACCAGCCCAGGCCCTCCTGAGTGTGGAGGGAAAAGGATGGTCTGTGGACGCAGGTCCGCATCTGGCCTGGGCCAATTACTGGTGGGGTAATCCTAGGCAGATTATACCTGAGCCTCCTCCTCCTCCGCCCTAAAGTGGGGCTAATACTTAACTGTCAGTGAACATCTGGCACCTGGGATATAATCGGCATCCAACAGATAGTCATTCCTTCTCTTGCCTCCACCCTTTTCTTGGCACAGGAAGTTCAAGAGGAGGGGGTCACTGACCTGTTTCTCTGAATCGTACCCATTTTAGAGGCCCTGGGTCTCAGGCTCTCACCCCCTGAAGCTGGGGTGTTGATAATGAGGAAAAGAGAGCCCCATGGCAAGGGACCCTTTGGTAAGCCCATGTTTGGAAACTGGGACACAGTTTTTTCCTACAGTAACAACGTGATGTGCACGGTTAGGCCCCACCTGCAAAACCACCTAAGCTCACTCAGGACCCTGAACCCTGCTGTAGAAGACATGTGGACGCGTCTTCCCCCTTACCCCTCCTCCCTTACCCCTCAGGATTACTGGGTCTGAAGCAGGCCCACAGGGAGCTTTTCATTCTTTTTTTTTTTTTTAAAGATTTTATTTATTTATTTATTTGACAGATAGAGATCACAAGTAGGCAGAGAGGCAAGCAGAGAGAGAGAGAGAGAGAGGAGGAAGCAGGCTCCCTGCTGAGCAGAGAACCCGATGTGGGGCTGGGTTTTGACCCCAGCCGAAGGCAGAGGCTTTAACCCACCCACCGAGCCACCCAGGCGCCCCCTAGGGAGCTTTTCTAATGGTTTTGATCAAACAACCCGGAGACCCTGCCTGTGCTTTTTCCATCTCTTTCTTCACTCAAGGTAAAGGGAAACAAAGACCCCCTCAGGGGACAGGAGAGTCAGAAGGACTAGGAAAAGTAGGCCTGCTGGCTTGGGGAGGCAGCGGGGCTGGGGGCTGGGGCTAGAAGGGCTGCGGGGTGTTCCTGGGGTGTCCCCCAGAGGGGAGCAGCAGCTCTGGGTACTTAGGGGACGGAGGGCTGGGTGGGACCCCCTCTGAGCTGAGCGGAGCAGTAGGAGGTAAGAGATAGAAGGACAGTGAGGAAGGGGGTCCCAGGAGGGGATTATTCCTGCTAGTGCTGATCACGGAATTCAACCAGGGACAGGCCTCTAACCCCCCAGAGGACATGCAAGTGAAGCTCGAAGGATTTAGGTAAAACAGACGTGGGAGTGTTCACAAGAATCATCCACGGCCCAACTCATGAGGATGATTTCATCAACCAAAAAAGGGCTCTGGAGGCTCTCAATCAGCAGATCAGTGCATCTGCCTCCCTCTTCTCCATTCCCAGTCTTGATTCCCCCTCAGACAGTCCCTGCGCAGCGGGTCCCACCAGGGAAGAGAGGGTGGGCACCCACTGGGGTTGTTTTAGGGGCCAGTTGCAATGAGGACTGTGAACAGGAGACAACTCCTTAGCTGGCATGGACGGCTGTGGGGTCCCACGGCACAGCTGAGAGCAGGGAGGGCCTGTGGAAAAACCCAACACCCCTTCACACCTGCACCCCCATGGCTCAGCTGATGTCCCCCGGGGAGAGTGTTGTCAGAAGCATCTTCTCTATTTATTCACTCCCTTTCCCCTGGGTCTCTCTCCCCCACCCCTCAGTCCGCACTCAGCAGAACACAAGAACCCCTCGGAGCCATCATGGTGGACGGACGGACGGCTCCATTCTGGCCCAATGGCAGAAGTGAGCAGCGCTTCTCTCTGGTACCACCTGCTGAGGCCTCCCGTCACATCCCTCACCGGAAAGCTCCCTCACCGCTCACCTCTGCTTTAGGATTCTAGAGCGTTTGAAGTTACAAGACAACAATGAAAGAGAAGAGGGAAGGCTCTGACGGTGGTCCGGCCTGGCCTGGCCCTTCCCTTCTTTCCAGCATCCTCTCCATCCCTGCCTGCCCCTCTGCTCCTTCTCTGCCCGCTGCCCCCCACCTCATCCTTGCTCTCTGGAAGGCCGTGCCTCGTGTGGCTCCTGCAACCCCAGAGCTTCAGGGACAGGGCAGCAGCCTAAGGCCTAAAGACTGGCCAGGGAGACCTGCTAGCCCCCCGCCCTGACCCCGCTCCCAGGCATGGCTCTGTCTCTGGCCATCGGGCCCCCTTATGGCCGGCACCTGCAAGATGCTGCTGGAAAGACAGGTCTTCCGGGCAGCAGTGAAAATGAAAGGCAGTGTCGCCCTTAAGTAGGGTCCCCAGGATCCCCACTCCTTAGGCTGCCAGAAGCCAGACACTCAGACGTCTCCCACCACAGCAGCATCGGGGGGTCTGAGCATGAGGAAGAAAGAACATCTGCTCTCAGATGTCCCCCAAGAGGCAGTGCAGCTGGAAGGTGAGAACCGGGTCTGGAGGCAGCAGGGCCCACCTTTAAAGCCCGGCTCCTCACTAGGGGCTCCATGACCACGGGCAAGGGAGCAAGTCTGTGGGGGTAACGGGACAGCACCTCACGGCCCGCACAGACAAGGGGTCCTGCACACGTGCCAGGCCCTGAGCTACACACTCCACACCCCGAATCTCATCTCACCCTCCACACTGACCTCGGCAGCCTTATCCACGTCCACCCACCCCCCCAATTTCATTTCAACTGTTTACCACAGAAAATGCCGAACAGACACAAAAGCGGAATGAAGAGAATAAAGAATGATCTCGTGTAGCCATCACTCGGCTCTGCGAAGACTGAGGCATGGCTAGTCTTGCTTCCTCGGTGTCCCCAACCCCGTATCACTGACTCCGAGGCAATGCCACCGGCCATCACATCCTTCATCCAATATTACAAGAAGGAAGCGAAGGCTCCCAGATAACAAGAGCTGCGCTTTCTGGGAACCACGACTGCGGGTGCCCCCGGCCTGCGCGCACGGTCGTCCCCACAGCAACCCAATACAGTACTGTTATCCCCATGTCACAGATGGGGAACTGAAGCTCGAAGGGTTAGTAACATCTCAGGGTCACAGGGTCAGCAGTTCAACCCTAGTGGTTTGATTCGGGACCTGGGTTCCTCACCAGTGTGCTGCACCACGGCAGAGAGTCCAGGAGATTCGATGAGAACACATGCACCAAGCACCCAGCTGGGTAGGGGCACGTGCTCATGAAAGGAGAGTGGCTGGCATGCAACCACTCCAAGTCCGGGCTCTGCCCCTGCTGGTCACCACGGGGCTGGTCGCCTCCTCTCACACTCTGCCCCCTGCCCCCTGCCCCGCAAACAAACTGCCTCTTACCCAGGATGGAAACCGGTGCAGGGGGGGAGTGGGGGGTGTGTTGCCCAAATCCACTTCCTCCAGCTCAGCTCCAGGGGCCTGTGGGCTCTCTCTTTCCTCCTTCTTCCCTCCTGGGGGTGGCTCCCCCATCTCCATATTCTCCAGTTCCTCCCAGAGCTCAGCTCGGGCCTCCGCCTCAGGAAGCCTGGAGGGGTGGAGGGCTGAGAGGGTCCCAATCTCGATGCTCACCACATGGTTGAAACACCCGGGGCCCACCTGGGGCTGGCTGTGGTGCCGCTTGGCCAGCTGGATGCTGTCCCGGGGGGTGCTGGGGACCCGCGCCTTTGGTAGGGTCAGGCTGCAGCCCAGGCTTCCTTCCCTGGCAGAGTTCTTTGTCCCAGGGAGCGTGCCTCCCTGAGCAGTGACCAGGCCCTCCCCCCAGAAGGCCGAACCATGTCTGTGGGTGCGAGGCTTCATGCACAGCCGGCGGGGAGAGCTCTCTCTTCCCAGATGAGTTGGAAGGGTCTTGGCCTCGGCTATTTCCCCAGGATGGACCACGATGGAACTAGAATCCTCCAGGGAAATTCCTGCTTTAGGACCAGAGTCCCTTCTAGGCAGAGCATCTGGGGAAGGTACAGGCAGAGCTGCCTTCAGGGCACCCTTGGCCTGGGGACTACTGTCCTGCCCTATCGGCTGCATTCCTGGCCCCGAAGCATCAGAATCCTGCTCTGGGGTTTCCTGGGGGGCCACCAGCAGCTTCCCCGAAGGTGCCATCTGAAGAGCTGTGGTTGGGGGGAAAACAGGCATAGTGAGAGCTCCCTCCATTCGGTGGAG